GGGACAGGGACACGGGAATGGGGATGAAATCCTCGCGCACGGCCGAGAAGAGGCTGCAGTTCACAGCATTCACCACCTGCAACGTGGGATTGGGACGTGGGACATGGAACAGGGACAGGGACATGGGAATGGGGACAGGGACACGGGAATGGGGACAGGGACACGGGAATGGGGACAGGGACATGGGAATGGGGACAGGGACACGGGACAGGGACACGGGAACGGGGACAGGGACACGGGAATGGGGACACTGGAACGGGGACAGGGACACGGGAACGGGAACAGGGACATGGGAACGGGGACACGGGGACAGGGACACGGAAATGGGGACAGGGACACGGGACAGGGACACGGGAACGGGGACACGGGAACGGGGACAGGGACACGGGAATGGGGACACGGGGACGGGGACAGGGACACGGAACAAGGACGGGGACATGGGAACAGGGACATGGGAACAGGGACATGGGAACAGGGACATGGGAATGGAGACACAGGACTGGGGACAGGGACACAGGAATGGAGACACAGGGACAGGGACATGGGAACCAGGACAGGGACATGGGAATGGGGACACGGAATGGGGACAGGGACACGGGAACAAGGACGGGGATACGGGAACAGGGACATGGGGACAGGGACACACACAAACGGGGGAATGGCATTCCCAGGGAAATTTGGGATTCCCCAGCTCTGGCAATATCCAGAGCCCCCCAGAGCCTTTTCCAGGGTTTTTCTGGGAGAGCTGGAGAGGGGTTTGGGATGCTGGAGGGATGGGAAACAGGGAATGGCTCCCCATGGAATGTTGGGGTTTTGGGATGGAATTCCCAGAGAATCCGGGGCTGATCCAGCTCCTGCACTATCCTGGGATAGCGGGAGCTGCCCCGTGGGAATGGGATCATGCCAGAGATCCCTTCCATCCCAGAGCATTCCAGAATTCCAGGATTTTCCTATTCCATGACCTGTCTCCAGGTAAATCCCAATTCCTACATCCCGCCCCATCCTGTCCCATCCCAGTCCCTCCCAGTCCCATCCCAGTCCCATCCCAGTCCCATCCCAGTGCCCGTACCCAGTCCCATCCCAGTCCCTCCCAGTGCCCGTACCCAGTCCCATCCCAGTCCCTCCCAGTGCCCGTACCCAGTTGAGGCTGGGCTCGCGGCTGAACTCGTGGCTGTCCCAGTCCCTCCCAGTGCTCCCAGTGCCCCCAGTGCCCGTACCCAGTTGAGGCTGGGCTTGTGGCTGTCCCAGTCCATCCCAGTCCCTCCCAGTGCCCGTACCCAGTTGAGGCTGGGCTCGCGGCTGAACTCGTGGCTGTCCCAGTCCCTCCCAGTGCCCCCAGTGCCCGTACCCAGTTGAGGCTGGGCTCGCGGCTGAACTCGTGGCTGTCCCAGTCCATCCCAGTCCATCCCAGTCCATCCCAGTCCCTCCCAGTCCCATCCCAGTCCCTCCCAGTCCATCCCAGTCCCCCCAGTGCCCCCAGTGCCCGTACCCAGTTGAGGCTGGGCTCGCGGCTGAACTCATGGCAGTCCCAGTCCCATCCCAGTCCCTCCCAGTCCCATCCCAGTCCCTCCCAGTGCCCGTACCCAGTTGAGGCTGGGCTCGTGGCTGAACTCGTGGCTGTCCCAGTCCCTCCCAGTCCCATCCCAGTCCCTCCCAGTGCCCGTACCCAGTTAAGGCTGGGCTCGCGGCTGAACTCGTGGCTGTCCCAGTCCCATCCAGTCCTATCCCAGTCCATCCCAGTCCCCCCAGTGCCCCCAGTGCCCGTACCCAGTTGAGGCTGGGCTCGTGGCTGAACTCGTGGCTGTCCCAGTCCCTCCCAGTCCCATCCCAGTCCATCCCAGTCCCTCCCAGTGCCCGTACCCAGTTGAGGCTGGGCTCGTGGCTGTCCCAGTCCCATCCCAGTCCATCCCAGTCCCTCCCAGTGCCCGTACCCAGTTGAGGCTGAACTCGTGGCTGTCCCAGTCCCATCCCAGTCCCTCCCAGTCCCTCCCAGTCCATCCCAGCCCCTCCCAGTGCCCGTACCCAGTTGAGGCTGGGCTCGCGGCTGAACTCGTGGCTGTCCCAGTCCCTCCCAGTCCCTCCCAGTCCCTCCCAGTCCATCCCAGTCCCTCCCAGTGCCCGTACCCAGTTGAGGCTGGGCTCGCGGCTGAACTCGTGGCTCTTGGCGGCGCTGAAGTCGTAGTCGGGCCGGAAGGCCTCGTTCAGGGTGGCGATCAGGTAGAACAGCGTCTTGCGGCTGCACGTGTCGCTGAGCGGGCCCTCGCCCTGCCTGGGGACACAGCCGGGGTCACTGGGGACACTGGGGACACAACTGGGGTCACTGGGGACACAACTGGGGTCACTGGGGTCACTGGGGACAGAACTGGGGTCACTGGGGACACTGGGGGCACAACCGGGGTCACTGGGGACACAACTGGGGTCACTGGGGACACTGGGGACACAACTGGGGTCACTGGGGACACTGGGGACACAGCCGGGGTCACTGGGGACACAACTGGGGTCACTGGGGACACTGGGGACACAGCCAGGGTCACTGGGGACACCGGGGACACAACTGGGGTCACTGGGGACAGAACTGGGGTCACTGGTGTCGCTGAGCGGGCCCTCGCCCTGCCTGGGGACACAGCCGGGGTCACGGGGGACACAACTGGGGTCACTGGTGTCACTGGGGACACAACTGGGGTCAGTGGTGTCACTGGGGGCACAACCGGGGTCACTGGGGACACTGGGGACAGAACTGGGGTCACTGGTGTCACTGGGGGCACAGCCGGGGTCACTGGGGACACAACTGGGGTCACAACTGGGGTCACTGGGGACACAACTGGGGTCGCTGGGGACACTGGGGGCACAGCCGGGGTCACTGGGGACACAACTGGGGTCACTGGGGACACTGGGGACACAACTGGGGTCACTGGTGTCGCTGAGCGGGCCCTTGCCCTGCCTGGGGACACAGCCGGGGTCACTGGGGACACTGGGGACACAGCCGGGGTCACTGGGGTCACTGGGGACACAGCCGGGGTCACTGGGGACACAACTGGGGACACAACTGGGGTCACTGGGGACACAACTGGGGACACAACTGGGGTCACTGGGGACACTGGGGACACAACTGGGGTCACTGGTGTCGCTGAGCGGGCCCTCGCCCTGCCTGGGGACACAGCCGGGGTCACTGGGGACACAGCCAGGGTCACTGGGGACACTGGGGACACAACTGGGGTCACTGGGGACACAACTGGGGTCACTGGTGTCACTGGGGGCACAACTGGGGTCACTGGGGACACAACTGGGGTCACTGGGG